TGAGGAAAACAAAACTGAGAAAGACAGAAAGAGAGGAAGAGACACACTCACAAAGTGTGAGTGAGAGTAAGAAAGAGAGAGAGAGAGAGAGAGAGAGAGAGAGACGGAAAGTGACTGGGGTATGTATATACGGTAGCTAGATATGAAGTTAAAATGCATGTAATGTAATCAGAAAGAGATACAGCCTCACAAAGAGAGAAACAAATAAACAACAAGCAAAAAAGCCTCATTTGTTGCCGCTCAGAGAGCAAACGAACGAACGAATGAGCGAACGGCGACAACGATGGCAAATGGGCATATAATACCATGTTATCATAATCATAGGTACCATTACAAAGTACGACAAAGTATTTACATTGTAACGATGCATAAGATAGTGAAATTAAAACAAATTTCAAGTAACGAAATAGCGTACAGATTTTCGGATGCAGGCGCGCATACAGCGAAAGGCAAAGGGTCGGAGAGAGAGGAAGAGAGAGAGAGAGAGAGTGGGAGAGAGAGACAGTGCCGAAATGTGTGGAACGAGCGAGTTGCATGCGTGTGTGTCTGTTTATATGGGCGAGAGTGTTTTTTTGTTATTTTTTCTTCAGTGCACATCTCCACCACTGAATGTGGTGAATAGAAATGTGCACACGTAGAGCATCAAGCACAAAGGATTATTTCGTTACGTACAGAGAATATTTAATGAAAGATTCGCTTTGAAGTTGAGTCTTCGTATCTGAGTGGATGGCGGCAATGGGAGGCTAAATGAAGGACCTGTGTCTGTGTCTGAGGCTGTTTCGATGTGTGTGTGTGTGTGTGTATGTTCCATTAGCATCCAACCATCCTATCAGCACATATGTACTTTATTACGCATTATGAAGAGAATCGATTCATTGAAGAGTAAAATTTGTACCAGATATTTACAATAATTAAAATGGTACAACTTGGATCGTCAAGTTACATGATTGCTCCGGAGGAAACTGTTTATCAAATCAATATGAGAGAGGGAGAAAACCATACATACACTCTCTCGTTCACTTTATCACACACACACACACACACACACACATGCACACAACAAAGGTTTTTGCCACGAAGCTGTTATTTTATGGTTGATACATAAACTTCAGAATAAATTACGGCGCCATATTTTTAATTAGATTTGTTAAATGACGAAGCAATAAAAAGGCAGCGAACGGCACACGCATACTTTTTCAGTTCTATAAGTGTGTTTGTTGTGGAATGGAATGGTGTGTCAGTTTGAGGTGATTGAAATTTGAATGACGTGAGACGTGCAAAATGAAGGATCGGTCGTATAGCATTTTGAAAAGAGGAAAAACGAGAGAGAGAGAGAGAGAGAGAGAGAGAGAGAGAGAGAAGAGAATTTGTTCCGAAGAAAACAAATTAGAAATTATAATTTGGAGAATTCATTCCATCAACATGCGAGTCAGGCTACGTTTCTTTTTTAGTTCTTTTTTTCTCTCGCCTGCAAACCGGTTGGAGCATGATAAATAAGTAGCATGTCGATAAGGACGAGACAAGAACGTTCAAGGTTCACACATGTGTTCCATCGCACACTTGACAATGTGCTAGTGTCTGTCTCCAACAGGAAAACTACTATATATAGTATGTACACATAGCTCGAACAATACACGACAACAATCTATGACGTGCAAACAAACTAAATAAAATAAAAGCAAAACGAATTTTGCTGCCGAATGACATCGATAGTTGGGCTGGGAAAAACTATGTGAAACGGGGTGCCATGAGAAATGAAAGCGATAGCGAAGAGTTTTTCGTGCTACACACACACTCTCTCTCTCTCTCTCTCTCTCTCTCTCTCTCTCTCTCTCTCTCTC